TTCTTGTCCCACCGTCAGCCCCACAAGGGGAGGTCACTTCACCTCTGCGGGAGGCTGGAGGTCCTCTCTGGGAGAAGATGGTTTCACCTTCAGCTGCTCCGAGCCTCACACCACGTTGCTCCCGAGGCCACTGGTGCTGGTCCTCACTACCTATGGAAGCACGAGACCCAGGGTGGGATCGGAGAGACTCCCTTGGGTCTCACTCCACCCCTTTGTCACAGGGCTCAATTTCTGCTGAGATGACTCAGGAGGAAGCACTGAAGAGAGGATTTTCCCAAGAGGTGAACTCGAGACTCAGTCTTTTCTCATGTAATCCCATCTGCCCGAGTGCTGGTGTTCTGAGACCTCAGAAGGCCCCTTCTGGTTTCATGAATAGTGTGTAAGATGCATTAGTCCATGTTCCTGCCAATATTGTTGAAAATGTATTTGCTTAGTGTTGATTTTAATGAGCCTTGGTATTAAATTGCATTTAATATGGGATAATTAAATTAAATTCCATTTAACAATAATATTTAAAATAATATTATAAATTATATACAAATAATATTTATAAATAATATTAAAATCCATTTAGTAATTAAATTCCATTTAATAGGACCTGGAACATGTTCTAGACCATAGATACTCATCTCTCTCTGGTTGGCTGGGGCACCTGCTGGAGGTCAAGCTGGTTTGGTTGTGAGTATTGAGACATTAGATTAAGAGACAAGAGGAGAGGAGCAGAGGCTTGAGTGGAGGAAGCATAGGCATTGGTTGCAAACTGAGTTAGGATGCGGATGGGGCAGCATCCAGAGGGCGTGCACCAAGCTCCTAGAGGGCACAGCCGAGGGCCAGAGAGCACCTCGTCTTCTGCTGGGGGTGAGGCCTCTGTGCTTCTGGGAAGAGACCAAGGGTCCCTGAGGGATGAGGGGTGGCCCAGCTCCAGTGTCCCAGCCACACAACTGGATTTTCTTCCTGGCTGCTCAAAGCTCTTACTAAAGAGTGTTCTTGGAAACAGGCCCTAAATATTGTATGTCCGCTGTGGTGAGGTTGCCTTAAAGTGTTTCTGAGAAAGGCAAGGCGCATCATTACCCGTAAGTGAAGAGTCCCACGGCCTGGGAATAAGTGAGGTCTGGTGTGGGTAAGTGGCTTGTCTTCTGAGGATGCTTGGGTAGAGGTAGCATTGACATGATGTGGCTAAGGACAGCTTGGCTTCTGGGAGGACAAAGGCGTAGATGCCACAGAGCGAAGGAGTGGCCTGACAGCATGGTCGCTTGCTCTGGACTCGTCTTCCAGTTCACCAGTCTCACGTTCTTATTTTTCTGACCTCCTGTTAAACCCATTCAGTGAGTTCTTCATTACACGTTGCATTTTTCCATTCAAGAATGTGAAGTGAGCTTTTTAGATTCTTATTTACTAAGAGCAAACGTCTCCGTCCTTTCATGTATTTTGTGCATTTTCCCTCTGTTTTCTTTAATCTGAGTCACAGCTAATGTTCTTGCCCAATAACTCCAATTTCTGGATCATCTGTCGTTCTGCTTCTATTTTCTGTTGTTTCTCTTTATAATCTTATAATATGTAAGAAACATGTTTCATTATCTCTTCACATGTAATTTTTTAATTAAAAAGTGGAAAGTGTGTGTGAAAAATACTGTAGGTTCTTTGGGTGACATCCTTCTCCACCAGAGATGATTAAGATTTCTGTTGGGCAGGTAAGTAAGGCTTCATCGCCTCAGTTCAGTCAGAGACTGTGCAGGGTCAAGGCTGGGTTGCCATTTCAGTAAAACTCCTGTCCCTGGTTGGCCTCTGTTCTTTGATTGTAAACCTCCCGGGATTTGGTTGAGAGGCTGGCAGGCTCTTAAGGAAGTGGGACATCTAACTGGACCCTTCAAAGTTTTAACCCCTGACTTCCAGTCTCCTACTGTGGAGCTTCCGTTTCTGGCACACTTTCCTCATGAGGTGGACCCGCTGTCTGCTTGGAGCAGCTCCCTCCCCAGCGGGTCTCTGTTTCCCACACACCGTGAGACTGCAGGCCACTGTTCTCTCCTGTCAGGAGCGTTTCCTGTGACTCTGCAGCTTCCCGAAGAGCCCAGACCTCAGCGAACGCTCCATAAACAAAATCAGCTCTGCGTCTGAGGCCCTCGCGTTTCCACAAGTGTTATTTCAGCCTGGTGGGATTTCTAAAAGCTGCACTGTTTCTCTTTTTTCCCAGCAAGGGCTCTCTGGTCCTCATTTCTCACCCAGAACCTCCAAATGTCTCTAGGAGAAAAGAGAGCTGCTACTTTCTTTTCTAAGGTCATTTCATTAAAGTTCTCTCTTCTCTTGAGCTGTTGTCTCTCTAGTTGGATTTGCTTGCACATCCTTTTTTGCCTTTAAAATGTGGTGATTGTACTGTATCTGGATGTTTCTGGTTTTTATAGTAGATTTTCCTGCTGCAACATTCTCTGTCCTACCAGAAAGTTGGGGTTCTTACTACTGTTATTTAATTGCATTTCAAAATTTCTGGGGGTCCCGTGTTGGACAGCATGGGTAAGTCCTACAGAAGTAGGCATTTGAAGCATTTATAGAGAGCACTTTGAAACTTGTATTAACGTTGCATCTAAACAATGTATTGTTCTGACACATTTCACACAATTTGTGGAACATAATGGTCTCAGTTCACATGAGCCACAGGAAAACAGCATTTGGCGCTGGACGGTGGCCTCATGAATCTGGAAGCAGGAAATTTCCATTTCCATCTGCTTCATCCAATGACGGGAAGAAGCTATACCCCTGTTTTTATACCAGGTTTCATGTTCAAACCAAGCTTGTTAGAAGAGGAAAATCTTTGGGAAAGTTAAAGAAAACCCTTGTTTTCTCTTTCTCTTATTCTCATGTGGAAGGAGGTCCACTGACATGACACTAAAGTGACACTTTTGCTCCACTTTGCATTCCTGTCATCTTAGAGGAGCAAGTTATGACATCAGTGGGTGGCAGCCACTGAACCGTGTACCTCCACCTGGAAGAAGCCAACTGTGAAAACCTCACACACACAGTCACCTGCTGCATAAAGATGTAACAGTCACGACAGATTGCATACGCAATGGTGGTCCCGTGAGATTGTAACGGGGCTGAACAACTCCCATCCCCTGGTGGCCCTGCAGCCAGCGCACTGTTGTAGCGCGATGCATTGCTCGGGTTTGGGTGATGCACGTGGAAACACACCCACGAGCTGCCAGTCATGTGGGAGTCTGGCACACGCAGCACATCCAGTGCCTAGGACTGGATGATGACGATAAACGACTATCTCAATGGGTTTTGTGTTTACTGTACTATGCTGGTTGTGGTTATTTTAGAGTCTGCTCTTCCCACCTAAACAGAAAAGGTTACTTAGAACAGTGTGCCAGGCTGCGCTGCAGCCTCAGAGACCTCGTGGTGACCGCGTGTCTGGACTGCATCATTTCCCTTGCTCCTGATTTCACCTGGTGTTGTTTTGCCCATCACGGCCCCTAAGTGTACAAAGGCCGCTGCTATTGTTGCCCGCAAGAAGCCACATAGAGTGACTGATCCGGAAACAAAAGGATAAGGGATTAAGGACTACGAAGTGGGACAAGCAGTGATGGCTGTTGCTCACCAGTCAGCCATGTCCCATTCCACCACAGCGACGACTCTGAAGAGCAAGAACAAAGCTACGGAAGCTCTTAAAGGATCTACTTCACTGAAGGCCACGAGGCTGACGAAAATTTGAGAAGGGCCCATATCAGACATGGAGAAAGTTGTAATGACCTGGACTGCAGACCAGGCACAGAAGCGTACCCCTCTCACCACCGTGAAGATCGTGGCCAAAGGAAAAGCTTGTCCGTGATGTCGAAAGAAACACTGGACCCGCCTACAATGTTGAACGTACTGCTAACTCTGGGTGGTTCGTTCAAACTAGCCAAGAATCGTGATTTGTCACAAAATGAGAAAGTGAGCAGTGAGCCTGCGAGTGCCGATGCGAAGGCAGCTCAAGAATTTTGGGAAACTCTAGACGAGCTGATTGCGGAGGAAAACTTCCTGCCAGGGAACATGTTCAATATGGATGAAACCTCCCTACTCTGGAAGCAGGTTCCTGAAGGACTTCCATCCATAGGAGGCCACGTCTACGCCAGGTTTGAAGACTTTTCGGGACAGGATCGCGGTCTGGCGTGGGGGCGATGTTGCAGGCTACGGGGTGAAGCCCTTTGTGATCTGACGGAGTGGAAGCTCCAGGGCCTTCAAGCGCATCAGTCAGCATGGCTGCCAGTGTACCACAGGAGCCATGAGAAGCCGCGGACGACCAGCTCCTCTTCCAAGATGCCCTCCTGAATTCCTGAGCCAGCAAAATGCAGAAGTGCTGTTTGGAGAATAACACACCTTTCCCGATTTTGCTTATTGTTGGTAATGCTCCCGGACATCCTCCTTTTACTGGTGCTCTTCTTCCCAATATCAAAGCCGTGTTTCTGCCTCCAAACACCACCTCTTTGGTCTAATCAATGGATCTTGGAGTCCTGGCAGCCTTTAAAGCCACTACCTGAGGAGGACCTTGGCCCAGGCTCTTTCTGCAGCTAAGGAAGATGCTAAGAAGACACTGATGCAGTTCTCGAAGGATTGCACCCATGACAGCATCAAGAACCCTGCTTGGTGACATCACCAAGGAGTGAATAAATGGCATCTGGAAGAAGTCACTGAAGAGGCGCAGGGGTGGGGAAGGGGCTGGGATTCTGCTTGAGCCTATGGCAGGGACTCTTCTTCCCAGGGCGTGGGGACGCTATCTACACACTGGTGTGAGACACCCAGCAGCACAGGCGTGCAAGCTGAGCGACCCCACGCGGCTGTGGGGCTGCGGTGCGTGTGGCCTCACACCAGGTATGGCGGGAACCGCAGCTCCATCTGGCCCTCGGCCCCTCTGTGGGGACAGCTGGCAGAGGCTGGTCGGGGGGCCCGGGCTGCACCATCCTCTGCCTCGCAGGGCATCTGGTCCATCCTGCAGAGAGTTCTAGGCAATGCAAGGACAGGCTGGTCTTGCATTTTAACCATGAAAACGCTTTATTGAACTTTAAGAGGGGGGAACCGGCCTCCCACAGTGTCCTCCGGCCCCTCCTGGAGCAGCAGCTCTCGGGTTCGTGGAGCAGGCCCAGCGCCATCAGCTCGGCCTCGGGCTCACTGCCAGGTGGCCGCTCGGGGGCCCGGCGTCTGGCCATCCCTGCCACCTCTGGGGCGGGAGGGTGGGACTGGCCCGCCTGCCCCTGCCACCCCCTTGCTGGGGTGGCCTGATGCTCCTAGAGCTGCCTCTAGTCACCGATGTGGCCCTGTGGGGCATGCCCAGGCCCCAGGTGACCACACACTCCTCAGAGAGACCTGGCCCTGCTTTGGCCAGAGACCAGGACTGGCCAGGGACATGGTGGGGTTCGGTCCCCACTGTCTTCATCCCGGCTGGGGGAGCACTCATGGTGCCCCTGTCTTCCCAGGACCTGGGTTCGGGCCAGGCCAGGCCCCTCTGTGGGAGGGGGGCACCGTCCTCCAGGAAGGCCAGCATGAAGACCTGGGGCACGCTGCTGCTGGATGCCGGGCGCTTCAGGGCCATCGCCCTCTCCATCACACTCCCCTCTAGAGGGTGCCAAGCCTCCAGCTTCCTTGCGGACATGGAGGTCAGGGGGTGGAGGGGACAGTCGAGGCCCCGGGGCAGCTCGCTGGGCCCTGCCAGGGCTTCATCTCCACTGTGCCCTTCACCACCCTGAGAGGGGCATCGGCTGCAGGCGTCACAGGGCAGGAGGGGTGTCCTGGGCCCTGTGGCTTGGTCCTCGTCAGGCTGGATGGGGCCTGTCACTGGGGCCCCAGTGGGGATGCAGGGCTGAGCCTGTCCTGTGGCCCTGGGGGTGGCCCAGGCGAGCAGTAAAGGGAGAGACGCCCAGCGTTCCAGCTCAGAGCCCACGGCTGGGGGCCACCTGTCCGCGGCTTCGTGATTCCCTGGGAGGTTCGGGAGGGAAGTGAAACGCCGTGGCTGCAGCCGATCCCTAGAGCTGTCCTGGGCCGGGGGAAGGCAGGCCAGACCCGGAGCCTCTGGGGCCCCGAGAGAGGTGTGAGCAGCTGTGGGCCCTGTGGAGGCCCCCTCATTCTGTGGCTCCTCGGCCTCGGGGACAACCTGGGCATGTGAGGGTCCTGGCCGCTCATGCTCGACGGGTAGGTGGGGGAGGGCCAGCCCGGCCTCACTGGGCAGCTTCTCACAGCCGGGAGAGGCGAGGACAGGCCTGGGCTCCGGGGACGCTCGCTCCAGGCCCAGGGGCAAGGTGGGGAACTCCTCCGGTTTGGCTGAAAGTGAGCAGATTGGGTTAACTTCTGCATCAGGCCATCTGGCCCGTGCAGGGTGGGGCCCCGTGGTGTCCTCATGGCTCCCTAGGTGGCAGCCCTGGCCCAACACCGAGAACAACCGTCCAGGTGCTGATGCCGTGTCTGCAGCATCTGCCCTCACAGCCAGCCCAGCCTGGCTGCCGAAGCTTCTCAGAGCAGAAGAGGAGATGGGGGGAGGCCCTGGGGGCTCCCCACTTTTCACGGCCCCCAGATGGAGAGTCGGGAGGGGACCGGGCCTGTGAGCCCACCTGGGGGAGGCAGGTCACATTTCATCCTCTGCAGCTCCACCATCGAGGCCTGGAGGTGCCTGAGCACCGCGTCATCCTCCAGGGCCCAGGGCTGGCACAGCCCGTCCTGCAGGAACTCCCGCAGGCCTTCCAGAGGCAGCTTCAGGAGGCGTTCTAGGCAAGGGGGTGCGCGTCAGGCCAGGGGCTCACCCTGCCCCCCAGGCACCTTGTGTGGACGCGGCTGTGTTCTGGAGGGGCCACCACCCCTGGGGGTCCCGCTGGGCCTAGGAGGGCCACGGGCAGGATCATGGACCAGGAGGCCCTCGAGGCTTGGCCCACAAAGGCCCCGCCCCATTCCCACCACTTCTCAGAGGGTGCCCTGCCCTGGCCGGGCTGGAGCAAGGGCCACCACCCCTGGGCACACTCGGGCTTCACGGGCTCACTTACTTTTGTGCAGTTTGAGCACGGTGTAGGCCATGGCCGTGAGCACACGCTCACCCTCCAAGATGTAAGTGTCCCAGAGCTTCAGGGTGAGGGAGAAGGGGGTCTGTGGGGACAGCAGGCATGAGGGCGCAGCTTTAGCAGAGCCACTGGGGTCCCAGCATGGGGTGAGAACCCCTTGTGCCTCTGGTCCCTGCGTCTGACAAGGTCCCGCAGCTCATCTGGGCGGACTCATCCCCATGGGGACATGGCTGCTGGACGAAGGTGCTCCCCGCCAGGTCACACAGGGACCTAAGGGGCTGGCCTGCACGACTGCTGACCTGGCGGGCAACAGGGATGGCCCCCCACCCAGGGGAACACACCTTAAAGGAACAACACTATCTGCAATGTGGGACAAAGGCTCGTCCACACCCTGGGCTGACCCGGCCTTCCCTCCAGAGCCCAGGTGGAAACAGCCCGGCCCCGGAGCCCTGAGGTGCCCATCCTGGAGTGGGATCTGGGCTCCCCGGGAGGGGTCCTGGCCCCATTCACCCCTCAGTAGGGCCTGGCCTGTCTGGGCTGAAGTTGAGCTCGGCCCTCCCTGACGCCGGGGGCAGGGAGCGTCCCAGGACGGGTCCCTGGCAGCCTCACCCGGCCTATGAAGCATTGCAGGAACCACTTGGCCGTGTAGATGCCGGTGCACATGTGCTCCTCGTCCTAAGGGAGGGCAGAGGGCTCAGGGCCTGCCTGGTGCGCAAACCTCCCTATGCGGGGCCTTTGCAGCCGCTCCCGGGGGCTGAGTGGTTGCTCCTCCCGAAGCCCCGCTCAGCCCCGGCTGCCCCTGGCCACTGGACGAGCAGGATGAGTCCAAACTCTCTAGGCAGCAGGGGCCTGGCCCCTCCCCAGTCCCCACCCTGGGCCAGCGCCCGGGACGAGGCGGGACGCTCCTACTCACCAGGTGCTGCTTTAGCTTCGGGAGCCCTTTGGTGAGGACCTGCTCATGGTGGGCCTGGAACCTGAGCAGTTTCGGGAACCCCGGAACGAAGAAGCCTGAGAAGCCCCCGGCCCCGCCAATCAGAGCCGGATCCCAGCGGGGTTGGGCGCTGGCAGGTGCCCCCGCTGAGCCCAAGGCCTCCTCTCACCCGCAGTGACCCCACATGCGCCCACGGCCTCCCTAATGCTGGCTGGACACCCTCTACCAGGGAGCAGAATGCCCTGAGGCCCGGGGTGGCCAGGGACAGGAGCCCCTCACGGAGGCTCACTTGGCTGGCGCCCTGTGCTGGGGGTCAGGCAGATGTCCCTGCCCCGGCATCCCCTCGGCTCCCCACTCCCCACAGCGGGGCCATGGGGGTCCCACATGGCCGGTGATGGGGTGTGCATGGCCATCTCCTGGGCTCGGGAGTCAGGCTGGGGCCTGCAGGAGGGGGAGACGCTGCCATCTGGGCTTTGTCTCGCCGTGGGCATGGAAGGAGGCTGGGCCGGGGGGCAGATGTGAGGAAGGACCAGCAGAGATGTAAGAATCGTCTGACGAGGACAGAGCCGGGGGCCGTGGCTACAGGACCGAGAGGGCGGCATGGGGCTGCAGTGCCCTCCCTGAGGGGACGTGGATGGGGTGGGGGTCCCCAGGCAGCCCTGCTACTGGGGGGCTGTGCAGGCAGACCCTCCTGGGCGCTAAGTCACGTCCAGCGGTCCGCAGCGCCCACCTACCATGCATGGCGTGCCTCTCGCTGACCATGAGCTGGGCCAGCGCCCAGAAGGCGTCCTCCTCGCCCAGGAACATTAGCAGGACGGCCACGACCTCGCTCATGCCCTGGCAGTAGCCCACCTCCTACAAGAGCCAGACCACATGGAAGGATGACCCGAGGCCGCCTCTCCCTGCCCTGTGCTCCCATCTCAGCGTCTAGGAGCCCCTGGACAGACCCCTGCCCGGCCCAGGCTCTCAGGGCCCAGAGGGGAGTGGAGGCTGGCATGGGGCCCCCGAGATGTCGGCCGGGAGACCCGCTGCAGCAGCTCTGGCACCAGCACCACGGCAGCCCCGTGCCCGAGCTCTGGGGTGTCCCCCTGGGGTCCCCTTTCTCAGACGAGGGAGAGGCGCCTCCGTGAGGCCCACCAGGGTGACAGGGACCCGCGAGATCTGGAGACCCCGCCACGACTGCCGGCTGGAGCCTGACCGGGCGCAGGATGGCGGCTGGGCCAGACCCCGCTGTGGGCCACCCGTGGAGTCGGCTGAGCTGGTGGTTCTTGAGGGAAAGTTCTGGAAAGGGGAGCAGCCGCCCCGGGAGCCGCCTCCCTATCTGCCTCACTCTTAGGGAGTTGGGTTAATGGGGACCTTCGTCCCTGCTGGTTTCTGATGAATAATGTGGTGGCTTCAGGATCAAAACTCAAGTGTGACGACAAAAGCGATGCCCCTGAGGCCCCACACTGACTGGTGACACAGCCCCGCCGAGACGGGCGTCCGGCAGCCCCACTGAGCTCGTGGGCCGGGCAGCGCCGGGGGTGAGGGCTCCATTCTGGTCCTGGAAGTGGAGTCTGCGTCCAGCCCCGTCCGCCTCAGCGTCAGGGGAGAGAGCCCCTCGCTGCGTCTCTGTGACCCTGTGAGCTGGAGGCCTGACGCGTGCCTCCTGTCTGGTCACAGACACTCGATTTTAAGAGGCAAGGACAGTGTGGGACCCTGGGCCTGGGGGCGGGATACTCACGGTGTTGTAAACAGAATAGGCTGCGAGCACATGGAACAGGGCTTGCTGCCTAGGAAAGGACGACAGGGGGCGGTGCTGATGCTGTCGGGTTCGTTCTGTGACAAACACCAACAACAGAACAGGTGTGGTTAAGAAGTCAGCCAAGAAGCTGACGTCTTCAGGGCGTCTCCATGTTTAACAACATTTTGGGGTGAAGTCTACACGCGATGAAATGCAGATACCTCAGGGGGACAGTCTGATGAGTTTTTATCTTCATTCTTTGTCTTTTAGTTTGTGTACGTCAAAGTTCCATCTTTCACCATGCAACATTATTTTGTTTGCTGTTGTCACCTCCCTTCTCCTACAGGACTCATGTCCCCCAGGACCCCTGCATCCCATCTGGGACCCCCTTCTCCCCTGGGATCCCCCATGTCCCCCTGGGGACCCTGCCTGCCCAGTGGCCTCACTTGATGCCATAGCGGTCCCAGTACATGATATGGTTCCGGAATGTTCGGTTCACATCCAGGTCAATCTGTTTGATGTCATCTGAGAACAGCCTGGCCTGCTCCTTCATTCTCTGTGGGGGAACCAGGAGGAGGAGCCGGCATCAGAGACACAGAACACTCCCTGCCACCAGCTGCACCCTGAGCAGAGCGAGCGCTCCTGGCTGGAACCTGAGTTTTTCCGCAGGAACCTCATCTCTGAAGCCAGGGAGGGTCCCAAGTGCCCACCACGCCTGTGAGGCCCACGTGATGCCCAGCAGCCCCGGGGAGGGAACCCCGATGGTCAGCCCATGGGCTCCTCCAAGCCCAGACCCCCACCCATCAAATAGGCAGGTCCAGGCCCCTGACCGCTCTTCCCTGCCCTGCACGGGGGCCTGTCCAGGGTGACAGCGCCTGCCTGGGCTCTGAGCTCGCCCCCGGGAGGCAGCTCCCTGGAACCTGCTCCCAGGGCACCGGCCGCTCAGGGCCCTTGGGAGGCGGGAGGGCGGCTCGGCCTCGGCTCCCTGACACCCGCCTGAGTTCTGCAGCCAGACAGCGAGACGAGGCCACTCTCTCTGCACCCTCTACCTTCACCCGCTAGCTAATTCTGTTCACCACACAGGGATCCAGCACCAGCCCACCTGGCCAACCCTCAGGGCGCTGGGTGACTAGAGGGCTGCGGGGGCTCCAGGCCCGTCTGTGGCACCCGCTCCCATTGCCCTGATCTTAAAACTGCCCAGGGGGCGCACGGAGCCCCATGGCCCTGACACCCCCACTTTCAGCCCCCTGGTTATGGAGGCAGAGAAGCATCCTTGGGGTTCCATGCAGGCCTCCCTGAGCCGCGTGTTTCCCACTTTAAAGCTCCTTGTGCTCAAGTGGAGGGAACGCTTGGCCTCTGCATCTCCCCCTGGACCCACCGACTTTCTACATCAGTTACTCATTCTGACTCGTAGGTGTCTGCAGAATGTCTTGAGTTTCTGTCTGTGATCAGATCACCTGCAAGCGAAGGTCATTTTGTTTCTTATTCATCTGTGTGATGGTTTTTTTTTAATTTTCTTGTCTGACTGTATGAGTTAAAACTGCCAGAGCAATTCTGAATCAGTGGTGACAGCAGATGGCTCCGGTTCATCTGATGTGGATGAAAACGGCTCCAGCATTTCCAGCCCCTCAGAATATTTGCTGTTGGTTTTTCTTCAACAATTTTAGAAATACTCAGTTTATTTCTATTCTTCTATTTCTCATGATTTTTACCAACGGAGAAGTGGCTGCTGAATTGTATTCACTGGCTTTCTGAATCCGCTGATGTCATGGATGACTTTCCCCTTTTACGTGTCCACGTGCGGTTTGGTCCCCACGGGCTGGCTCTGGAACGCACCGTCCTGGGTCATGGGGTCATTCCTTTGAGATCCTGTACGTCTCCCCTGCGAGGATCATATCTAGACTCGTGCATCCACGGCGAGTGTGCGATGGACGGAAGGTCTTCCCCGGGCACTCTGCACGAGGCTCTGAAGTGGGGCCGAAGCGTCACAAAGATGGAGCGTCCCCTTCGCCCGACCTGAGCCCGGGCCGAGGAGCCGCGTCCACTGTACTGGGAGCAGCGGCCTCCACGGACGGCGCTCTTGGCTCGGCTCCGCTTCTCCTTCACCTCAGGCTTCTCTCCTCCCTGCACACGGCCGATGCTGCTGGGAAATCCTCTGTTCAAAGGCCGCCTGAGCCGGGCACGGCCCTCCCTGTAGTTCTCTGAGCCCGTCCTGCCTGCGGCCAGGCCCGCTTCCCTGAACGCCCCGCACCCTCCCCTCTCTCCCTTACTCAGGCCCGGGAGAAGTTTAGCTGTAAAACTGGTTTTTCAAAGGACCAGTTCCTGGTTTTATTTATCTTTTCTACATCTTTTGGGTTTCTATTTCATTTTGCATTTTTAAACTCCCTCTTATTCTTTTCCTAATTTTTTAAAAAATTTTAAGGTTGAATACATAGTTTGTTAATGTCTGTTTTTTAGAAAATAAAACACTGTTTTGGGGGGCTTCTCATGGTCTGTTACATAATTTGTAGTTCCAATTTTCATGTCCTTGGGTCTAAAGTTTTGGTGCTATGGTGAACAGGACATTTTTCTTATAACATTTACACAGTAGCTGGTCAATAAGACGATGGTTTTCCCTGGTGTCCGTGGCACACTGTGTAATACAAACTACAACCCGTGTGTGCTGTGCGGAGTGACCACCTGCTCCTTCAGTCCCCTCTCCTGTGGCCGACTGGGCTCTCGGCTGAGTCCCTCGTGTCCCTACATACGGGCAGCGGCAGCTGTGGGGCAGTTTGTCTGGGTTTTCACCCGAATCCGGCTGCATCTGGCAGGCTCCTGGTCACGAGTTCAGAAGCGGACTCGGCTGTCAGGGGCTCGGGGGAGTCTGGGCAGCTGTGCAGGGAGCCTGGGGGCCCGGATGTGGGAGCAGGCGGGTGCGATGTCAGTGCTGCCCCTCCGCTCCCAGGAAGGAGCTGGCCTCGCCTGGCCCTGCACGGGGCGGCGGGAGGGGTCTGGGCTCAGCCCCCGCTCTTCTCTCCACACCTCCTTCCCTGTCTCCTGCGGGACCACAGGGACACGCTGCCTGCTTGACAACTACAGCCTCCTCTCGTCCTGGTCTGTGGGGCCCTTGGAGGGTCTCACGATTGAGCACGATGCTGGCTGTTGTTCCACAGTCGTCAGCGGATGCACACGTGTGGACATATTCACCACATAATTCCCGGCTGCTTGCTGAACTGTGACCCCATCACACCCCCTCGGGCTGCATCTCCCCGTGTCCAGGCTTTGCTGTGCCGGTCCCACTCAGTCTGGGCGCATCGCTGCCCTGCATAGTCAAGTGTGCACAGAGCCCCCTCCCTGGGCCATGTGACCTGGGGGACCCTCGGGTGGAGACAGGGCTGAGCCTTGGGAACCAGCCGGGTGCTGGGTCCCCGCTGGGGGGACAGGAAAAGACCAGTTCCTGGTCCCATTAAGTCTCTTCCTTTCTACCCAACGGCGCTCCTGTCTGTGATTTCGTGGGTTTGGTTGCTTTCCTCATTTTGTGGGTCCTGTGGGTGTGCTTCCTTGCTCTTTCCCTGGTTTCTGTCCTTTGCTGTGTGACTGTCCCCTACTCAGGGCTGTGGGCCGTAGTTGGATTCATGTGGCGTCTGTCTGTCTCTGGCTCCAGTGTCTGCACTGGGTCAAGCTGAAGGTAATGGAGGCCCAGGCAGTGGGGGGACGGGCAGGGCCTTCCTGGCGGGAGTGTCCTGGGCCCGTGAGTCCAGTACGGGCCAGGAAAGAGCTGAGGCCAGGTGAGAGGGTCCCATGGCGCATGACCACCCGCCGGCTCCCCCAGCTCCTGAAAGGCCGGGCCTGTGGGCGCTGCCTCTGCCGAGTGTGGAAGGGCCGTACCTCGTATTTGCCTTTATTCTCCGCCTTCACCTTCTCCAGGTCCAACAGCAGCGACCACACTCGACCCCGCACCTGCGGGGGGATCCCCTTAAAGACCCGCTTGTGCATCTACGGGAAGCAGAAAGCTCTGGTGACCAGGCCGCAGGGCGACCCCGCGCACGAGATGGAGTGGGAGGCATCTGGAAGATTCTGGCCTCTGGCTCCGTGGTTCTGTGACCAGGACCCAGGCCCAGAAAGGGTTACGGAGGGTCTGGGCAACAACTGACATGGTCCCTCAAACGTCTTTCAGACAAGAGGCAGCTCTGTGCTCTGCTTTGCCGAAGCTGGTGTCCCCGTTTGGCAGACGTTGCTGTCTCGCACAGACACTCACGTATTTGCAGCAAGACCC